TATTTGTTCCTTTTGTCCCCCCTCCCTCTCCCATTGCAAAAATCTCAGAAAAGATAACCGCCCCCCCCCCCCGCCACAAAGTTCGTCACACTTTCAAACTTAAATAAAATTGTTACAAAATTAAAATTTAACCTATAAAATGTTTCACTATTAAATTTATAAGAGTGAAGTCATCTTCTGTCAGAATACGTCCATCACAACAGAAAGCTCAAAAATCACTGACATTTTTTGAGTTTTATATGTATGATTAAAAAAAAAAATGAGTGACGTCACGCAAAGCACTTTAACACCCCCCCCCCGCGTCACAATTACCTAGACACCGTCTCCTCCCTCTACAGTGTGACGTACTTTATGGACGACCCGTTACCAGAATATACGACTTTTTAAATAAAAACAGCTTTCCTTAAACAATTAGGCCTAGAGTCTTCTTGCTTCCCACGAACGACTGAGCAGATTATTTGACAGCTTTGTGTGGTGTGCCAATACTTTGAGATCCACTCTAACCCTAACCCGTTGACCTTTCACTGAGATATACACACGTTGTTTATATTTTTTTGTATACTCAAATATTCTACCAGAAAGAATTTCTAGAATTGTTTGGCGGCAGTCAGTCCCGGAGGAGGTCAATACTAGTATTGAAAAAATCTAGCCTCCAACCCATGGTCTTAAAAAAAAACCAACAACCTCATTTACTACGGTATTTATTTTTTGTTGTATTGGTGTTTAAGAATAATAGACATCTTAATTTTTGTCAGGCCTGTGACACTCAATATGGCCTCATAAAGTTAGGTCAAGGGTTTGAAAACTTTTGTAACAACTGCAGCCTAATCCTGTTACACTTCAGTAAACGAATAAAATTCATTTAGCACCTGGACCATAAATTAGAATATTGGACTATAGAAGATGTACCACAATTTTAAGCGTCCATCGAGAGTACTCCCTTAACGTAATGCCGCTGTAAACATTATTCAGATAGTCAAAATCAGCTGTGATTACTGACTAGATCAATGTAAAAACCCTGAAAAAATTTAGGCATACCAAATTTCAGAAGTCTCAAGCATTTTGAAAAAAAGAAACAAACAATGGTAATCGATGCATAACAATGTTGTCTTCGGGTCACTATCAAATGAAATGCCAACTCACACCTCTTTACTGTAGCACAGAGAATGTAGGCCTTGCCTTACAGCAATGCCAACTGTAAGAGACTTTGCTGATTGCCTCACAGCAATGCCAACTGTAACAGGTCAAGCTGTCTCACAGCAATGCCGACTGTAAGAGGTCACGAAACTATACACATTGCCAGTAAAAACTCAGACCCTCATTTGTGATTCATAAACGAACTCATCCTAATTAAAAAGTGGCTTAACATTTGGTGGTATTTTATTGTTGCTTGTATTTTTTCCTGTAGGCTTTTGTAAGGCTTTCAACTTTTGTAGGGTTTTCTACTTTGGGTAAAGGGTTTCAACTCACAATGTGGGCCAGGCCAAAACAGGGAAGAGATTCATTAAAAAGAACACTTACACAACCATTTAAAATTAACAATTTAATTTTCGCAATTCATTATCTATTGAAAAAATATGTGTAGTTATAGTTTTTCCCTTAAAATACAATTGACAAACTTGAACTTCTTATTAATTGTATCAAGGGGAAGTAACTCTTCCAATGGGAGAAAACTGATAAAAACAACAAACCAAAGTAGGCTGAATTCAGAAATTGAACATTTTATTTGTACACAAGTTTCTATGGATTGTACATCAAATACAAGGCTGGAGCTTTCATCATTAATCAGATTAAAATTTGTAACGCTTCATTTTTCTATACATGTTAATGTCTTCGTTTGTCCCTTCTTCTCTCATAAAGTCAATGAACCATAATATGTCTACATCTTTTGTCCTTATTCTTATTCCTTGTATTTAAGTGACTACTACAGTGAGCCCAGCATAGGTGAACATAAATTATGAACATTTTGAAGTTGACAATTTGATCCTTAATTTAAAAAAAAATTATTTTATTTTGCAAAGAATAAAAAGAATACAGTGAAAATTTTCAAAACTAATGTAAATTTGTCTAGAACAGTTAAACACCCTGTTTAAATTAAAGAAAAGACAAAGGTTTTTCACTTTTACCACCTCAGTTTTCTGACTGATGAGTGTAATGATTGAAAAAGTATAACAACAAGAGATTGGCTCCACGTCTCAAATAATGATCCACAAACATATCGTTTAGCATTCATTTTATAATTCAGAGAATAGTAATTTGTTGTTTGATTTTTTTCTATAGCAGTAATCCCAGGGGTTTTAATCAAACTTACAGAAAAGTCATTGACGGACAGAGTAGATCATTAGCTATATTGAAGTAGGGTTTTTAAAATATCAACTTCAAATACAGCAATGAGAATACATATATTTTTTCTGAATGCATGATTCTACAATCTTATAATTCATATTTAATCGTATGTACCCTTACCCCACACACTTGCATTCTTAACTTTATCACACGTTGTCTTCAAATTAATTCTATACATTTGTATTCATCCACTCAAAGTTTAAGCTATGAAAAAAAGCGTTAAATAATGACCATAACAGATCAACTTGTGGTAATTACATACAGAAAACAATTTTAACAAATTTAACTGAACACCCCTGTTCTCAAATCAATTCCTTGGAGCAAAAATAATTTCTGACGCAACTCTAATCATGCAAAACAACAGTTTAACAAACGTCTCAAACATTTAATTAAAATATCCTCAAACGTTCACACTTTTACAAAACCTGACGTTCCACCATCTTGTTGTAGGACAGGAGCAGGCAACCAAAGACCAAGCAATCTTTTTTTACTACTGAAAGTATTGAACATGATCACTTCCACAACTTCCCAGGGTTACTTCCTCTCAATCTGGAATGCATGACCAAAAAACCAACTTTTATTTTGTTTGCTGCAAGTGAGGTACAATTTTAAAGTGAAGATTTTTATTAACATATTAAATGTCCATTGCATTTTTTTGGGCATGTATTTTGCCAGATTGTGCTGCGTTGACAAATAAATTCTGTAACGAAGGATCAACTGTCATGGCAGCATTGCTCACACTCTTTAATTGAGGTATTCCCCCCCCCCCCTAAACTTTTAAAATGTTTCTTTAATTGAGGTATTCCCCCCCCCCCCCTAAACTTTTAAAATGTTTCTTATCTTACCGTATCAATAGAATTTTAATCAAATTGATCATTTTCTTTAGTTCTTCTCAAAAAAAAGAACATGATCAGCTTCAATCAAAGAAAATAATTTTGGAATTTAATATGTATAATAATCATCTAGCAACTAGGTCAAACAATGGGACAACTAAATACATGAACATTAAAGTATCAGTTCTTAACATAATAATCATCTAGCAACCAGGTCAAACAATGGGACAACTAAATACATGAACTTTAAAGTATCAGTTCTTAACAACCAAATGTATGATTTACAAGTCCGTACATTGTTCAAGTCTTAAAATGTTGCTAATATTTGCAACAACAAAAAATTCTTGCACTAAAAAAACCCCAAATATAATATCAATGTCTAGTGCAGAGTTAGGCATCAAACAAAATGACTCACCCCTTGGCCTTTGGGGCCTTCTTTGTGGCCTTGTCTGCTGCAAGGGCCAGGTCACTGCGGCTGTCTGTTACCATGGCCTCATCCAAGTCCTGTTGTTGGCTGGTCTTTATGGTCTTCTTGATGTTGATCACCTGGGTATAGAAGGAAAGAGAGCCAGTTGTTTACAATAAGTGCTAAGTGGACCAGTGAAGTATAAAACAGAGTGTGGAATAATATTCTTAGAAAATTTGTTATATTGCTGCTTATCAAAACATTGGAAACAGTTGTTACTTTCTAAACTTTCTACTTTAATACTTCTAAATTCTGATATTTATAAAAGGCTGTTGTGATCTATAAAAATATTGCTGGGTTGGGTTTATTTTGTTAATTATTCATACCGTGTAACATTTTGGGCAAAACGTACATTTATAAGTCCTTTCGAGTTATCAACTTCAAAAGATATTTAATGAGAGTATCAATTATTAAATGTCTCTATTCAAGTGGTCTTGTAAAAACAAATTACAAGTCTTTAAAAAGTAAGGCTTGTTACTTAAAAATGAAGGAAGATGGAAACAAGAATAGCCATATCAATGGTAGTTAGCTTCTACTATCTTTCTGAAAGAGATCAATGCATCCAAAAAAACAAAAAAAGGTATTAGGCTGGTTAGGAAGGTGAATGCAGGATTGGAAAACCCACAGGTGCTGCTTAGTGAATGAGGAATGTGCAGTTAAATTAACCATTAAATAAATATTAATTGTGGCGAAAGCACGATCTCTTCTCTTAATTTAAAAAAAAAAAAAAAAGAACTGACCTCATCTTCCAAAGATGCACGTTGTTGATTTTGTTTCTCTTTAAAAGTATTGGCTCTGTTGATTTGTTCCTCAATACTCCTCAGTACACCTTCACAGCCATTACACCTGTCATGTGGGGGATACAGTGTATTTGAAAAAACCACATATCAAGATTTGACAAGAAATACACATATCCATTGCATGAGGTCAACCAACTACACACAGGCACGAAAGGGGGGGGGGGGATCTTTCAAGAGATTTTCTATATAATGTAATTAATTGCCATTGTGTGAGATAGGAATTTTGTTTACATCTTTGCATATGGGGGGGGGAAGAGGGGGGGGAGGAAAAGGGGTGGGGGAAAAGGGGTGGGGGGTGGTGTTGGATCTTAGCCATCATGGAACCCTGGACCCAAATAACAAAGAATAATATTAAGACAATAATAATAAAGTAAAATGAAAGGATTTTTATAAGACTTCTCTTGTAAAAGCTTAAATTAATTTTTTTTAAAAATATGGAAGTGTTAATGTTAATGTAACAATCAATATTAAAATCAAGCTCATTAAAATTAAAACTATATTTTTTTTAAAATTTACTCATGCTCATTCTTTTACCCAGAAAATTTTTTAAAAAAGCATATTAAACAAACATGGTCTCTGTCCAACACAAGGCGAAGATATTGTGAACAGAACGTGTAGGCTACTGTAGCTTTCATTATGGGGGTACATCAGTCATTTGTTTAGTTAAAATTAAACCATGATCTCAAGGATATATTAAATCTATCAAATAAATCAAATGGCAGGTTTTTACAGCCAATAATGTCTATTATTTTGAAAAGTAGCTATCAATGGAATAGTGGCATTACATTAACATTTATATTGTTTTTGCTACCAGCACTGGCTTAAGTTTAGGGTAGTACAAAAAGATTCCACTTACCATTGCTGCAAGACATTGACAACTTCTGTCATTGCATTATCATGAATGTCTCTACCTATGGCATAGTCCACTTCAAGTGTTTGGTTTTTCTGGTCCAGTTTGCCATGAATGATGTCAGCATAGATCACTTCAATTATCAGATCCTGTAAATATTTACTTTGAGAATACCATATCTGCCAAACAAGAACTTATCCAGTACTCCCAACTCAGAAATTATCCAGTACTTCCAACTCAGAACTTTTCCAGTACTTCCAACTCAGAACTTATCCAGTACTTCCAACACCAATTTTCTACAAAGGGGGGTTAATTTCCAAAAGTAGATGACTAGTGTTTAGAATAAAATCGGAACTCATTTTGTTTCTGCATGTGTGTATTCTATGATTTATTTTTTATTAAAAGATGAGGGGCTGTGTCTGCAAATCGCACAAGCCCCCTCTTTTCACTGCATGTACCCTACACATCTAGAGCTTACCTGGATTTTCCTACAAAGGTTGGATTTGTTTTCCAGTGTTTGTACACAAATGTTAAATGCCATGTGCATTGCCTATCATAATGATGCTAACATTAATAAACAAGACACAAGCTGTTCAGATAAACAAAGTTTAGGATAATAAGTTTTGGAAAGGTAGGGCTCGGCAGTACATAGAAACAGTAAATTAGAAAGGTTTTTATCTACATTTTGCTTTGCCCTTTAAAAAAACATCATTCAAAATAAATAGCTAATTTTGTCACAGTTAATATAGTTTGGAAATAAAATAATAAGTCCTATACTAATCTTACAAATTCCTCCCTAAATTAATATTCAACTAGGAATGTTGCTAGTAAATCCCTTTCAAGAAATCAAAGCCAAATGTGTTGGCTGTAAGTGTGAGAGAAATGTAGCATTTTCTTTTAGCATGACCAAGGGGTAGGAGCTTGAGGATAACCCTGGATGGATTTGAACTCCTACCACTTGGTATCCTCAGATATGAGTGAAAAGTCGAGCGGAATGGACTTATCACGGCCAAAAAACGCAACTATTCATGGGGAGCAGGAAAAAAAAATTCAGTAAAAATAAACTCAAACATCAAAGCATCAGTAGACGTGTCAATCTATAGTAGGCTGATAAAAATAAATAAATAACTAAACTACTTCAGATAGATTAAAAAAACAAAAAAACAAGGGAAATTAATATTCACCTCAAGATTTCTAACATTTTCCATGGCAAGTTCTTCAAGTAAAACAGAATATGGAATGCACTGAAATATGAAAGAAAAAGTTTAAAGTTTAGAGCATAAATAAAACTACTACATAAGACTTTTGTTTTAAGTACAGAAATAGTGAAAAAATATTTTTAGACTTGGTTGTAATATGGTGAAGCAAGAAATGGAGGTATTAAATTCACTTTGAAATTTAGACAATGTGTAGATATTGTAACATAATTTTATAATTAGATGAAATTTTGCAGTCTTTTAAACTCACCTTACTCCTTGTTGCTAGAGATACAACTGTTAGATGTCGTAATTTTGTTAGTTGGGCTTGTGTTAGGTCTGGCAGTTGGGCTGTACTGGCTGTTAGGAGCAAAGGGAAATTGAAAAAGTATAACTACAAGAGATTGGCTCCTGGTCTCAAATAATGATCCACAAACATATCTTTTAGCATGCGTTTTATAATTCAGAGAATAGTAACTTGTTGTTTGATTTATTTGTATAGCAGTAATTCTGTAATTGTATAAAAGTAATAATTGACCGCTATTAAAATGTATACGCAAAACAGATACCTTTGTAGTCTTTATAAGTGCCATAAGCAAACACATTTAGTAGTTGAAAAGTTGAGGCATGAGGGCCAGTGGCAAGCTGAAAAATTAATTTAAAATAAGATACTATAACTGATGAAAGAAAAGGACATTTGTTTTGATTACATTGTAAATGTTAATTTTCAGATCAGGAGATTTTTAAAGAATATTGTCTTAACTTTAAATCTTAAATATCTTGTAAAAATTATACTTCCCTGTTATCAATTAAAGTAAGTTGGTGGCTACCCTCAATTGTTTGAAGAAAGACAAAAATTATGCATCAGTAGGTAATGTGGAGTCAGAGAGAAATTGAGCCAAGTTGGAGAAATTAAGCAAAGGTGGAGAAATTGAGCCAAGATGGAGAAATTGAGCCAAGATGGAGAAATTGAGCCAAGGTGGAGAAATTGAGCTATGCTGGAGAAATTGAGCCAAAGTGGAAAAATTGAGCAAAGGTGAGGTAAAGCAGCTTTTTTTGTCCCATTTAAAACTAATAGTTTGCAATAGAGCCATGCCTATAGGAAACCGAAGCTATAAGTGAACAGCTCAACTCTGGAAATCTCTCAGTTATTCCATATTAAATACTCACCTCTTGAACATTTGGTAAATGTAAGATTTCCCCGAACACATACACATTAGGTGCACTCATAGCCTGTGTGACAATACTGGCAGCACCAGCATGTTTGGCATCTTTCAATAACAGCAGAAATGGCTCTATAGGGTTTGAACCCTTTTCACTCGACATGCTTTTCTGAATTAAAAAGAATTATTATAAACATGGAGCCTATGCAAAAACTCAGAACTGAGGTTTTAGAGTTGTAATGGGAAAGTTGAAGTCCAAATTATAATTTATGATTTAGTAACAAATGAAGGAGTATGTTTTAAACATGAAACCTTTTTAATTGAATTCTTAATAGCCATACATAGCATTCATGTTATATTGATAAAGAATATATAACGAGAAAACGTCAATCCATCTTTTATGGATATAGTTGAAGCCATGTGTGTAAGATACTGAGAAGTCCTATTCAACCAATTATTATTAATAAAAAAACCTCAAAAATTACATAGGAGCATATCACCTAATTTCTGTTTGCAACTAGAACTAAGCAGATTAAAAATACTGTGACAATCATGTGCTTGGTCATTACTGATTACTCAAGTTATTAACTAAATAAATGTAAACCTTTGCTCATGCATCATTCATAGTACTCAGTCAGTTATTCTAGTTTAGAATTATAGGCACTCAAACTTTTTGGTCTGTATGTCATATTTTGATTTCAGACACAACCGATAGGGCCAGACCTAATGCCCAGTGCAATACCACATTGCCTACATAGCGTATCACCTACTTTATCATCCATCATAAGTCATTTTATCATAAATATATTTTATTTTCTTGTTACAGCTAGTGGATAAAAGTGAACGTTAACTTAATTTTAGTACTAAAATCAATAATTTTAGTTCATTAATTTTATTAAAAGAAAAGCAGAATTCTTATTCTTTTAATTTGGTTGCTGACCATTGTCAGAGTGAGAAATGAATCTGACATTTGCTACTCAAAATTGTCCAGTAGTTTAGTGAGTACAACATCAAAGAAACTTATTGAATGTTCCAGGTGTTAGTCTGTGATCTCTTTTTCTAAAAATTGTCAAGACTTTAACTAATGATGCTGCAATGGTGAATAAAATTGCTTCTGAAATTTATAAGTTGCATGACCATTCCCCTAGTTTTAGTAAATTCAATGCTCAGTTTTGAAAACAGATCTGACTGATGAATGATGCAGTAAGATGATTTCAGTTTCGGTTGAACATCCTGAAAACAACTGGCAAGACGGAATCCACTTTCACATAGGGTAGCATAGGTGTTTTTCATAAACGTAGAGTTGATATTTATTTTAGTGCTACACCTAAGACTTGTCAGGATGCTTTAAAAATAATTTAATTTTATATTTTAGGGCACTCGTCTGCAGATCAGTTGAAATGAAGTCACAGGCCAGACTCTCAGTAACCCTTCTCCAGTTTCTAATCATTAATCAAGACAATAATTGTAAGTTCATAAATTTACATAAACCCTAGCCATAAGTCTTAGCTCTGGACGCTGGGTTCTGAGGCATTACTCCATTATAACATTAGTTTAATCTGATTAATCTTCTTAGTTAGACATGCCAGAAGCCTAGCTTTACTTTGCAATTGCAAGTGCAAGTTCTACACAAGAATAATCTGGAGTTAACAATCATTTATAGAAATGGCTAATTGAACCCGGAAAAGAGTGAGAGGTTGAGTTTATTACAAAACATTTAATTTAAAATATTATTGTTGAGTTTGTAAGATTTAATCTGGCATCCAATGAAAGATAATTGAATGGACTATAGACTATAAACTATAGTAAGGTTACTTCTTCAGTTTAACTAAAATAAACTAACACAAAATCACAAATGACATCCGAATAACCATTACATTAAGTCTAAAGGGACCAGACAGAGTCCGAATAGTCGCTGCCTTCATTTATTTAAAAAAGATTAAAAGTTAAGTAATGAGTAATGCTATACTATGACTGTCTGACTATGGCCCATGGATCGGCATGGATCATGGTGAACGGCATGGATCATTCATGGTGAACGAGTCCAAGGAAAAAAAAACCTTAAAATAATAGAAAAGAAGTTGTTGTGAGCCTTCAAACTAATTATCATAATAATATGACAGATTCGATGAAATCTCAATTTCAACTAGAATTGTATTAATCGTTAATGTATTTTGCTACTACTACTTTCTACTACTACTACTAATAGACTACTAACTACTAAGACTACCAACTAGTACTAGTTACTAGTACTAGTACTAGTCATCTTGTACTAGTTTAGTTGTCATTCATTACTCAACTCGGTCGCCTTTCCTAGTATTTCAACAATTTTAAAATATCAACATAACAAGTTAAACATATTTATTTATTTTCCTTTGTGTTTATAATTACCATAATATATGTTTTTTATAAGAGTAAGCGAAACGTACTCACAATTTCTTTATTTATCCGTTCGCAATTAACCAGTTACCGAGTTTTAACACGGCAGTTATCGTTCTTGGGATATACAAAAAAATGGCATAAAATCTTTTAACAGAATAAAATATAATTTATAATTGTTTTTAATAATGGTTAATAGTAGTGCTTATATATTAAGTTACAACAAGAAATTCAAACTATTTTGACAAAATGTTAAATTAAACTTATGGAAGAAAAAAATTACAGCAATTAAAAAAGAAATCTTGAACAAAACATGTATTATGATTGAGTTGATTGGGTAATTAAAAAAAACAACAACAAAAAAACAACAACAAAAAAAAACGCCTTTATTAAGTTTAAGTTTATTTAATTTAACACGTCTCCCCAGTTAGCGTTTTTAAACTGTTTTTTAATGCAAATTATTGGAAAGGTGGGGGGGGGGGGATCAAAAAAGGCCACATAATTTTAGTAAAGGTTTTAGGATTGGAAATAAAAAAACAACAACAAAAAAAAACGCCTTTATTAAGTTTAAGTTTATTTAATTTAACACGTCTCCCCAGTTAGCGTTTTTAAACTGTTTTTTAATGCAAATTATTGGAAAGGTGGGGGGGGGGGATCAAATAAGGCCACATAATTTTAGTAAAGGTTTTAGGATTGGAAATGAAGATCAGTGCTCATCTTAGCGCAACGGTTCTCAACATGTGGGTTGCGACATCTTTGGAGGTCAAACGACCCTTTCCCAGGGTCGCATAAGACCATCGAAAAACACAAACTGTACAGCTATAAAGTAGCAAGGAAAATAATTTTATGGTTGGGGGGTCGCCACAACATTAGGAACTGTATCAACGGGTCTAGACATTAAGGAAGATTGAGAACCACTGTCTTATCTTGTACCAAGTAGGCTATATCATTTGAACAATTTTTTAAATTTAATTTTGTGGCAGGGGAAAAAAAATAAAAAATATTTTTTTTAACAAAAGAAAAGAAGACAACCTACACGCACTGGATGCCTTCAATGTCTTTTGTGTATTTCGACTCAAAAGTATAATTTCTCTACTTACACGTATTTTTTTAAAATTTAAAACGTGTCAACCAGTAGGCCGAGGCGTAGCGAGGGGGGGGGTGTGGTGCAGGGGGGACAGATGTTCCCGGGCGCCAGCTAGTTAAGGGCGCCAAAATGTGCTTTGATATTATTTTATTGATGAAAATAATGGGTTTGAAAGTTGAAAAAAAAAAAGAAAAAGGGGCGCTTTAAAATGGATCTTGCCCCCGGGCGCGAATCTCGTCACCGGGCGCCAAACACCCTCGCTACGCCTCTGCCAGTAGGAATAGATGATGTGCTTATTTTTCTTAAACGCACCTCTGCAAATAAATGTAAGGAAATAATTTGATGGTGACCCAGTTTCTCCTTGGACAGGAAAAGTTTCCGATTTATTTTTAGTTTGATGTTTGTTTTGTTTTCATTTTTTTTGTTGTTTTTCCTTGGTTTTTTTTTTTCTTTTGTGAAAGAAAGCTTTTTTTTTTTTTGTTTTGACACTTGTCGTCGTTGCTTGATGGCGTCTTATTTTTTCGAAATTGCCCTTTACCGTGTGGTCCATTGTTTCTAAAGGAAAGAAACACGGACTACATATTATTGTCCCCCCCCCCC